TTAAACAGGCCGGCGAAAAAAGTAATTCGTAGAAGCAATTCGCTGATCCTCAGATCTGAATTATTATTGCTGAAGAGAGGATCACTAAACAGTCATCAGATGGATATCATTATTAAATTGACCTGAGCAGTTAGCATTCATATATTATTTCATTTTCCAGTTGTTACAGTACAACAAATTAAAACATAGTAAAATAACGAAGAAATATCTGAAAAATAAATCTTCTACCACAGAAATGAGTTCGTTTAGGTATAACTTCTTTAACCATAGATGATGTTGTGGTTTTACGCGTTAATTAATTTCACTAGCGGTAGCTTGAGACTTCACTGTTATACAACCACTATGATAATTTTAATTAAATGTGATATGGTGTCTTACACTTTCAACTTATCAGATTTACCTTGATAGTGACCATTCCAGAAGAACATGACATATAAGCAAGCAATATTGTTTTCAGATGGATCCTCTTCAAGCTTTACTCTAATATAAATAGCCTAATACATATATATATATATATATATATATATATAAATTAAACCAAAGAAGTAGGTTTGTAGGTTGATGTGATAAATGTTTAAGCATTTATCACATTTGTATTTTTTATATTTATTTGAATCAGAGTAAGGCCTGAAGAGGATCTAATTGAAAATGATATTGTTCGCTTATATATCTTGTTCTAATTTACATAATGGGAGTTTTTAAAACTCTTACATTTCAGAAGAGTTATTTCATAGTCGCTTCGTGATAACGTTTTTGAAATGAAGATTTTTAAATTCTTTCCCGCCGCTTATTCCATTACTGAGATCAAAGGTTGTTCATCCAAGCACTGATAAGTCTGTTTGAGTGCGATAAAAAGACCAGTAGATTGATGCGTCTGAAACATCATTATTACACTGCAACAACCACCCTGTTAACTTATACATATATGTACATATATATGTTTGAAATATCATATTCCTCAAAACGCTTAATCATCAAATTAATGAACAGCACTGTTTTTTTATTAGCAGCAGTATTATGTTATTTCTTTCACACCTTACAGCCTACAGCACTGCGAAGTGAAAGAAACACAACTGCGGTATTGAATCTCAGTTTATGCATACCGAAGTTATCTAGCTGTTGGTATAAAATCTAGAATGAAACAACAAAAACTGGAGAATAAAAGACATTGTTATGCTTGTTTTCAGTCTCAAACTTTTCTGTAAGATATATAAATTTAAATGTGTATAATTAGTGTTCGTTTTAAGTCGGTTTTTGTGGGTATCAAATAGTGTCTGCGAGAAAATTAAATTTGTAAGTTTGATTTATCATATTATGCATCATGATAACCGTAGCTGTTCTAGACGACTGCTTAAGTCGAAATTCATCCTGTTTTATTGACAAAAAAAGTAAAAAGCACCGCATTGTAATATTTTGGAGCAACCGCTCGTTGAAAAGTTTATAAACGTTAGAGAAAAAGCATTAGCAATGACTTTCACCACAACAATGTGGAATCCATTGATGGCATTCAAACAGGTGATTTTAATGAATTAGCTTTCCGGAAATGTAGATGCCGAGATTCACCTGAAGTAAACGAAAGCGTTTAAAAAAATGGTCTTTCCTCCCTTATAGAAACTTTTTGCGCAAAATCATACAGCCCTATCCTTTAAGCAAGAGTGGTTCATGAAAGCATCTGTGCAACAGAAAAATGAAAAAAATACTAACGGGTGCAGTTGAAGATTGAATTTTATGTAATTAGTTCCCCTACTGAAGTTGAATAACGCAGTGAAAACACCATTTGCAGAGTAAGGTGACGTCAATTTATTTCATAGGGTTTTCATTATCATATTCTGAAACAGTGTTCTCATTGCTACATTCGCCGATTAAATGTCTGATATATTTTCGGACATTGCTGCATACTAAAATCTCACGACCACAGAGTCAACCAGAGATAATTATTCAGTTATTGTGCACATGCATTTATGCATTTACTGTAGTGTTAAAAAATGAAAACATTAGTGTTAGGGAGTAATCTAGATCAGATTAATCCAAAGCAAGCTTGTTAATGTTAAAGTTACATATATGTTTGTATATATATCAGAATGGTGAGGAATTTTGTTGTTTAGGTGGATGATCTTGGTTCTGTTGTTCTCTGCGTGGCGTTGTTTAAATATACAGCTTTCACCTTGTTTCTAGACAACAGCAGCAGCACTAACTGCAACGTGAAGTCAACCTAGCCCAGAGAACATAATACAACCATGATTTATATATCTTTATGTCTTCTAGATTCGGATATAAAACTCAATATTTTCATTGTTATGGAATTTACATGTTGGCATCAGTTAGTGTTAATTTCATGGCTATGATGGCAGTGAAGCTAACACCGAACATAAACGCTCCTCGAATAAATGGATATTTTCCTGACAGTTCATCAAATTATGGATCTATATTTCTGAGATCATAGTAATGACCACGATGTATTAGTTTTACACCGGTAATGTTTGTAGAAACAACTGGTCTTCAAACGTATGTCCTGAATCCCATACAGCTATATTCCTTTATTGTCAGCAACAAAATGAGATTTTAGAAAACCATTAATATAAAGTATGTTTGCACACATATATTTCATATATCTTTACCACGTCAAATTTATGTCAAGCTAAGATCGTCAACCATCCCAGAAAACAGAGAAATTTAAAACTGAAAATTTGGAGGGTGTTTATGTTATATTACAAGAAGGATTCCTATCAATGTAACTCAAATTAATGTTTGTTGAAACTGAAGTGATTCCCTCAGTATGAGTTAATGATAAAATCGTGAAAAGATTTTTAACTAATGGTTGTTCTTTCGTAAACAGTTATATTGTAAGCTTTTAGTAATGATAAATGGGATTATTGACACATGCAGTTCATTTTACGAGTAAAACATTATCTGGTAATACAAATTTCCCTGCGTTTTATTTACTTATTGAAACCATGTAGTCTGTCAATCAGTAGTTTGTTCAGCGAGGATTCTATTCGACTGAAATCCATTACTTCTAAAAATACGCTAACATACGATGAAAGTCATTAAAAGCAGTACCACAAAGCATAGGTCATTTGATGTTATAAAACGAATTCAGTAAAACCTTTAATTACTTCTGTTTAGGATGGTAATAATTTTAGATAGATAGGTCACTCTAAAAGCTATAGCCTATGCTGATGTTACTGAATATTTAGGCTGAAATTTGTAGGCTTATATACCATAACTGGAATTTAAGTATCTAGAATCAAATAAAGTTGAAGGTTATGAAAACCTTACAGTGAACTTGCTCACCTTCAAGTCAGCCAATCAACGGTAATTTAAATTCACGAAACTGTGGTATACAATAATGTCTCAATAAAGTCTAGTTTTGTCCCTGGTGAAAGAGAAATGCAACTGTATTTGATTAAGGACATCCATCTGAGGATTTCATGTTTTTGCAAACATTATCAGTTTAAAATGAATGCTTCGTGAATATAAATATACTCTCAGAAAATTGGATTCATAATTTTGATGAACTGTTCAAGAAACAAATCCAGTTATATAGGAAGCATTCATATTTCATGTTAGTGTCCCTCAATAACCCTAAGTTTACATGACTCGTTATTATTGACCTAAAACGGTTGTATTTTTACTTTAACACGAAGACTTTGCGTAAGTAGATGGATCATCTCTATCTAAGGCATAGGAAAATGAACATACTGTACAAGATGCCTAATTTATTCAGCAACACTTTAACACATTTTTCCTATGGTTTAAGCCATTTAAAATACATTTCACAATTTTCTTTATAAGTTCGTTTGTTTATCAGGGAAGTACAACGAAAATTTAAACTACGCGGAGTAAAGTGGCTACGAAGCACCTGTCTTAGATTTGAGTCTGCTTAATTCTGAATGATATTTCATTAAATCTTTCAAAAAAATATCAAATCTGGGTGACGCAGACTCCGCTTCGTTACTATAGAGGTCGATAAAATCACTCTAGGCGAGGCTGAACAGAACATGCACAGACTAATGATTACTTTATTAGAGGACGAGGTAGCTTCCACTTCCTTATTTGCTGACTTCTAATTAGCAAATAAGTAGAATTTTACTAGTCAATTAGCTTTTCGGCATTTTGCGATATCCATACGAGTTGTATCACTTTCTTATGTCAGAAATACTTTGATTTTGAGTTTTTATGTCAACCTCTTGAGCTTAGGCTCTTTAAATGAGGAAATATCAACAATATTTGTGTAATGGAATATCTATACAGTCATTTTACCATGCGTAGTCTTTCAACACAGTTAAATTTCAACGGCACCCACTGGGCCTTTCTTGATTCCTGAAACTCAATGTACAAGAATTAGCTTGAATTTTAGTTCTTAGTTTCACCATAATTAGTTGGGTTACCTGAGACATTGTTTAATCACCATTAGTCCCACCGCTGAAGTTGGTTGATAGACGTTTTCAACTGTTTCAGGTGTTCATATTGACTGAAAACCCTCTACATTTCATTAGCTTCAGTGTTCAAATGATATAGATTTAATTTTGTAACGGTATCGCAAGAATTTTATCTAATCTAAAATTATTACTTTTTTATGTGAATTGGGAAAATTGAGTCTTTCCACCCATTTTTTGTTTTCAAAACCAATGACCAAATTGTAGGAGAAGATTTTCGGACTGAAAAATACCACACCTTCCTTTGGAACATTTCTTTATATATCTCGGTATAACATCAAAGGGTATATTTTCCTTTCTGAAAAATAACACATCAGTTGGCAGATTCATCGTATCCTTAATGCCTTGCACATCATGATTTCACATTATTTGCGTCGGGGTACAAACATTTAGATAGATATTTCAACCATTATTTTGTTCCAAACCTTTTACCAGCGTACACCTCGTGGGTAAACCTTATGTTGACTGTTAGCAATGTTCACTCCTAAAACATGTCGTCGAGACTAATGAAGTTTGAAGAACTTGGTACATAATAGTGTCAACCAACAAAAATCTCAGTCTGCACACTCAGTGTAAATGAATATCTTTATATTTAAGTAGCGTACATTAAAGTTGCGTTTAATGCAAAATATAGTTTACAGATATACTTTATATGGAAAATGTTTGGTGCTGTTGGTGCTAAACTGATGTTTTCATGGAAGTAGCAACATGAATGAGATACATTATTGAATGGATTTCAGAGAGGACATAGACCCACCATGGCAAATTATCAGTGATAGCATGAATCAGAAGAATAAATGCAGCGATGAAAGAATAAATTATCTTCGATTTCTAGTGAAAATTTGTTCAAATTTTTATACGTTTGTTATTTCTTACTGACGATTTGGAAATAATGAGTTCTTTTCAGAAGAAAGAAAAGCTGAAATGTTTTCATTTGTTTGAATAAAACTTGGATGAGGTCAATGAGTCAAAAACAAAAGATGTGGTCAAAAAAGGTTCATGAATGAATTAGTTGAACAGACGCGATGCTGAACACTGAACATTCGACAAACTTATGAGTTGAGAAACTCGATTTCGCTGGATTGTGACCAGTAAAATTACTCCATACTTAGCCATTGGTAGATGCGTGTTCCATTACGTGATCCTGCATCATTCCAAAATGCATAACTTTGACTCAGTTGACATGATGGTGGCCTGTTGATATCTTTAATGGCATCATTTTGAAAGCCATAATCACCAAAGTGGCATTCACCAGTTGCATGTAATGTCCGTATATTAGTCATACCCATTTGTTTTAGTTGATTTGCACATTCATACGGTATAAGATCTGGTACCGGTAGTTTACTCGTCATATATATTATTACACCATGTTTGACTGACAAGTGTTTTTCAAATGATTTTTTCACTGAAGGTAAATTAAACTGAACATAACAGTCATTTAGTGTAATACTGTTAGATCTCTTTGTTTCTTTAATTCCTTCTTCCTTGATCTTACATTCCAGTAAACTGAGCCCATCAGTCTGATATGACTTTGAGGATCTATGTGCAGGATGATGAATTGTCGTTGCTTTAATTGCCTTCAGTATATGACCAGCATGAACTAAACAGGCGTGGACTGTTATTTCATCTATGAGAGAAAAATGTTTTGGAAGTTGGCACTGTTTTACTTAGGCTTTAAAATAAAGCTCAGGAAGTAATTTAAAATGAAAAGTTCAAATGAAACTTTATTCCACTTTAATGGCTGAGGATTAATCTGCTTGGATATGACAAAGTGAAGTGTAACATTTATGTCAGTCAGTGAATTAGACTGGAACAAATCCTAAAGGTGGAGTTTTTATTTAATTTCAAACTGACTTTAGACTACTTAAATCGTGTTCTATGATTTATCTTTGATTTCGTTCTTTTATGTCAATATCAGTATATTTTTCATCTACCAAATATTACTGGATTATTATTATCTTCCTTATCCTTCAGATTTACTTTCTGTTTTGAATGTAATTACTTGTTGTATTAACCTTCATAAAATAATCTGTTGATTATATCTTTATTTTTAAAAATTATTAAGTCTTACAAAAATTGTCGCTTCTCAAACTTATTATAAATTAATGTGACTGATTTTCTTGCAGTATTTAGAAGCTTTTCTTTCAGTGAAAATGTAGATATACTGCATTTACTGAAGTATTATCTATTGTTGCTGAGATTCTGAGTAACTTTTCTTAAGCTATTTGGTTTTGAACTTAACGCATTGGTGCATTCTAGATATTCTGTTTGTTGAAAAAAACGACTCAAAGTTGCCATTTAAAAGTGCTGGGTAGGCTACAACTAGAAAAATCTTGCGTTGTTGCTCATGTTAGTGACACATTGCCGCTTTGATTCTAGGGTATTCAGTGGAAATGCGATTTCACTTCTCTCTCTAAATCAATTCACTTTGTGGTGTGTCGTGATACACCTACAACAAGATGCATATCGTTTAACTGCTTCACGTTTCTTGATTAGTCACTAGCCAACTTTTCAATTTCTGAATGGCTATGGCCAAAAATAATCCCTTAATGACGTGGTTTAAAGTTGAAAACGATGCTTCATTAAGTAACGTTCTCTTTGTATGCGATCATAAACAAAGATTGTGAATGACCAACATCATAAACTAAGCAAAATCGGATCCATACAGCAACACCCTTGTTATTTTCAAACGAACTCATTTATCAAAAGGATAATAAGCCTGAATATCACTTTATAATCTGTTTTATGCCACTCAGAAGTATTCAGAAATAGGAAACATTTAGAGTTCAGACCATTTAACTTCTATGGATGCTGATAAATTATAGCCTTCCATTATGGTGAAATGAAAACAGTTCGGCTCCGTTTTGACGCATGACACTCTCATCCATCACTACGAAAACCCGTTTTGTTGGAAATTCTTTCAGTGTTGATTGTAGAAATGGATTAACGATACTAAGCCTTCTTATTTGATCATGAGCGTTTCACCATAAAGCTTTTTGGTACAATGTAGAAAAAAATTATTATAAAAATGGCACATTCAACTATTAGAGCCAGGGTATAGAAAAGGCATTTCCACCTTCTTGAATTACAAATGTCCTCTAGTGGTGCTTGTTAAACAAAAGTGTTGGTAATCTATTGGAAAAAACAGAAATGTTTGTCATATAGTGGAAGTAACCAGTAAAAGACTGTAATCTTCAAATTAGAATGTTGAATAAATTTCTTTTGACAGAGAAACAAGTGAAGCTGTATTCGCTAAAAACAAGCTACTTACAAGATCTGTTATTTACTAAGTTGTTCAGATTTTCAATTCTCCACTTTCCACATGAACTGAATTTCATATTTCGAATTTCATGTATTCTAACGTTCACAAATCCTTTGTTTTGATTGCGGCATATCGAAATAAGCATATCTCCTGACAAACGGATCACCTATCAAATCAAAAAGTAATGCTTTCTGTTACGGAGAGACGTTTTGCATAGGCTGTATTTACTGAGTTACACCTTTCATAAAAACATAAATTCAAAAGAGAATCGTTTTATTTTACGCACTAAATAACCTCAGGATGATATAAGCTGTAAACGTTTGATAATGGACTCATAAATATGGTATCTAGACGTTTAATTTAACCACAAGTAGATTTATTAAGATCAGTTTCGGGCTCAAAATCATCGAAAATCAATCATGTCATGAAACAGAGTCCAAAAAGATCATTTCTAGGAGTGCAAAGTGCTAGATGGAGGCTAATATGGAGTCAAAGACTACTTTGCAGAATGTCGGTGTGGTTACCTCACGGTCTTATTGGTTTTAAGGAAATTCACTGGCAGGAAGATGTTGACAACATTTTCTTCAAATTATCTTGTTGACGAAGGGAGTAAGACTGACATTTATTAGACTTTACCTTCAAAAATTACCAGTATTTGTTTAAAACGTCTGATGACCTTCAAAACTTGCTAGTTAGCTAATGATTTCAAGTTAGATTATAATCTTATGTTTCTAAAGGGTTGTATAAAATCTGAAGGTCTAACGGGTCAGCTCATATGAAGGTAGTTTTCATCTGTAATGATTATCTGCTAAGAATAAAACTAGTTTTGAAAACCGTTAAACAGATAAAGATGATGCAGTATATTGGGTTGATTGTCAAGTTTATATCTACTGAAGATACTTTTGTTCACTGTGCAGAGCTACTATTAGTATTATTTAGCAGTATTCACCCATGTGCCAGCTAGGGATCGAACTGATGAGTTCAGTGGTTCTCCAACTGATGTCAGTCCGTGATGAATACTATATCAAAACAAAAATCTCTAATAACCTAGTAGTGGGCGCTGCTGATGAGTATAGATATAAGTAATATATGATAAGAGGGCGGCAGAAATCATAGGCAATTACCAGCAGTGGGTAAAGATTCTGCCTAGAGGAACGCAGGAGACTATGTGGGCATATTAAGAGCAAATCAAGTAGGAAGCAGAAGAGGAAATGGAACACATTATGCAAATGACTGTCTTAGTATAAGATGTATAATATTTGATGACTATTGTACACAATGTGAATGGTAAACATTCCTTCCTGCATTTCAGTCTTCTCGTTTCCTTCAGTAGTATTAAGTTCTGGTGGTCATTTGACTTTTTAATTTCCTCCTCTCTTGTTTTCGTTCTGTTTTGCCATCGTTCCTCATTACAATTCTAATGCCTCTGTTAACCTTCCTAAGTTTTATATAAATTATTCGACAAGCACATGTGTGATCAGATTGTTTCAAATATATAGCACTTATACATCACATGTTTCAAATAATCTCCGTCTTCTCATTTTGTTCCTTGAAGCTGTCACATGTAACTTATTTTCTGGGAAACTGCTTCAATGGAACAGTGAAATAAACAAGTCGACTAACATTCAGCGGTTCAGTTTTTTTAAAAGTCTTGCCGATACCTAGTTTTGTATTCGGTTTCAATAATGTGACAAAGCTTTCTTAACTAATGATGATAAGGTTGTCTAAATTAAGTTATACGTTTTTCATTTTACTTCAAGAAAAACAAGATTTTGAGTATTAGCCGCGAAATGACATCAAAAGTAAGCGAAACTTTCCCGGCATAGATTTTACTTTATTATCTTATCCAGTCACAGGTATATACCACTTGAACGACTATGAGAAATATATTGTCAGGTAAAAACTGCAGCTAAAGTTATACTGGAGGTAAAACCCAGTCATCAAATTGGAACTTTAAATGTTCACTATGAAACAGCGTTAGTATGTTACTCACTTGTTTTAAGGCAATCTGTTTTGGGAAATCATGTGTCTTTAACTATGTTATGATGTGTAAGTATCATCCGGAAAAATTAGTTTCTGCTGTGTGATTCTAAGTTTGTGAGGTTGCCTAGTCAATACTTATGTATTACGTCTGTCAGTTACCATATATAACACTTGATTTACTTTCAATCGAAATGATGTGTTGCACTTCACAAGCGGCTGTTTAGTGTTACTGAATGGATGCATTTTATGCTCCACTTTTTATTCCATATCCATTTCCCAGTAATATTGGATATTCTTGATAAATACCACCCTGAAATCAGTAAATAAGTCCCAATGAACTTGAAAAATGAAGTACATTAGTACTCACTAGAGATGATATTTCCCAAAGTTCTAATAAGGCGTCGTGACCGGTGTGCTAAAGCAAGACACATGTCAAGGCAAATTGTGAACGACGGCAATGAATGGGGTCCCGATATGTCATGAACTGGTAGGAGTGGGAAATGAGGGCCAGTAGATGGAGTGGCCTAATGGTGACATGCTGGCCATAGAATCTGAAGCTCTTGTGTCTGATGGGTGGTGAGGTCATGGGTACGCACTGCGATGAGTCCACACTAAGGCGAAAACAAGTGTCTATTGCTTCCAGTTTTCCGAATAATGTCGGTAGTGAATGTCTACTTAAAATAGCTAAATAAATCCCCCACAAACCTCCAAAGTGAATAACAGAAGACTTGATGAAAGAAGCAAAAAAACAATTTCCTCATTAGATTATACTAAGCTGTGTACACGGTTCACAAAACTTAGGCTTGAAACATGTGTCACAAATAAACAAGTCTTATTTGATAGCATTTTCTGCCTCCCTCTCAATGACAGCATCGTCTACCACTGAGATGCTTAAGAGTACTTAAATAGGATGAAATATAGGTTGTGGACTCCACTGTTAGGTATCACCGGGTGAATTATACCGCTTTTGGCTTATTAGTTTCCGTTTTCTCTTTAATTTATTTTTCAAGGAAATAGGAAGCCCACTTTTTAAGCTTATCTAGAACAAGTCGAAGTACCAAGACGCCATCTTCAGATCATCTTATTTTCTCAGATTTTTATCCATTTATTGCAGTTGTTCATTTGCTCACTCACTCAGAAGGATATATAACTGTTATTCATATATTCATCAAATAGTTGTTGTTGTTTAAAAATACAGGACGTTGACTGACAGTGCGAAAAGATGAATTGTCTAATTTTTGAGTCTATATATATACATTTATATTCATATATATATATACGTTATAGATTTTCAAGTTGTTAAGTAATTTAACTACTATACAGGTGAAATATTTACTTTACTGATATCGTGATCACAAAATCTAGTTGTGTAATTTTGGCCTTTTAGGACATTTATTACGTTACTAACCTGTAACTTATGCAGAAAATGAGAACAACAAAGTGTATCAAAGCCTGTTCACAAAACGTCAGTAGTAATATTTATATTCTATAGGGCAAAGAAATGTATGAGCTGTCCATCATTCCATGTGTAAATCATTTAGTATATTTGTTTGGACATATTTATTTCTAACTCCTATTACTGACAGCTAACGGAATGTACACTTCTATATATCAGGAAAAGGGGTTTATAATTGTAGAGAAGAGATAATTCAGCGAAGAAACTTTTCCTTTTCGATGATTTATAATTATTATTAATGGTTATCTCAGTGAATTTGGAGAATAGTCAAATAATGCATTGTCTTTCAGAAGTATAAGAACATTTGATTCATACGCATTTAAGATATAAGAATTGCAAACAGGTATTTCAGCTAAAGGGGAAACCTGACGGTCCTGAGTTCTACTCATTGATGACATCATGAGTGTGCACTACTGAAGAATCCTTTTCTAGGAAGGCTAAGCTCTCATATTTTCATGGTTTTCTGGTTGATTTAAACACATTTACCATGGTTGTGGTGTTGAAAGTACCCGCTTTTTTTCAATAAAGGTCGTGCTTTATAGAAGTTGGAAATATGGACCACTGGATTCCAACTCAGTGACTCAATAGTAACGTGCAGGCCACGGAACCTGAAGGTGGCAGGTTCGATACCTGGCGGGGTCGTGGGTGCGCACTGCCAAGGAGTCCCGTACTAGGACGAAACACCTGTGAGTGCTCCTAGGTTTCTAATGTTCCTCCGAATGATTTCAGTCCATGATGAATACCAAGCTGGATTAACTAAACCTGTTGACATGATGACCATAAAGCATGCTGAATTTGCTTTGCTAGAGGTATTTTTCATTAGTCTAAGGTGATAAGTAGAAAATAATGTAATTGCTGTATGTTAGTGAAAATATGCACTTGTCATTCGGATAAATGACTAGAAATAGGCAAAATTCGAAAAAAATTCTCAGCCTTTTTTCTACAAACCATTTAGGTAAGCTTCTGGCATTGTTACTTTCAACTATCAGTGTACTTATAAACGTTACATGAAACATTAAGAAAATACAGGACATGACTGTAAAGGCACGCTAGCGCTTACTGAAATGATCAATTAGGTTTTTTGATTATATAAAAAAACACCCATCAGTGCGAAATGAAGAAGTATGACTGGTTAGATCTGTGGTTGCAGGGGTAACCTTTAGGGTCACTCTTCTTAGCTAAGATGTAGTTCAGATTTTATCGTTGCTTATCTCAGACTGGTTGCACCTTTTCGCCTCTTATGAATTTAGTAGTTATCATTGAGCTGCGTTTCGACGAAAGGCATTGCACACGTCACAAATGCACAGCTTAAAAGTTTTGTAGTTTTCTCAATCTTCGTACAACAGTGCAGGACAATTTTAAACTGCTTAATGTACTTTCTAAAACTAACAAGGTTATAAAGAAGGTAGTTGTACATTACTTTGAATTAACTAAGTCTTACCAAACTTTGACATTTTATCTGCATACTTTACTTCCTGTTTCACACAGAATCTTAAAAAAAGGTACTGATTTAGTATTAAGAAAGTCAAACTAAATTGTATTACAACCACTTAATTTCAAAACTGTAGTGACATATTTATGTGACATTTTTGACTAAAGTAAATGAGTGGATCTGTTGACACAAACAACGGTAAGAATGAGTTTAGCAAAAAATACGGTCATTACTTACTGGGTAGGCTTCTTCAACCAGGCACCAGCCAATATGTTCAAAATTATCTTGACCAATAGCAAGTTCCTCTGTTGACAAACTACAAGAGCCATGATAGTATTCTCTATCACCAGACCACTTAGGAATGGACTCAAAGATATTAAGTGTAATGAGTATTTTCGGTATTTCAGTATCATTTACTTCAGGAGCCTTTGAACTTCTCTGCACAGGTATATTCATTGAAACCGTGTTGTGATTTAAAAAATATAGGCAGCCAAATTCACTTTCCTTACTGTGAACCATGAATGTCTCCGAATAGTCTTTAGCTGAGATGGTGCACTGAACATTAAATGTTGTTTTGTGCCATAATCGGGGTGACAAAAGATTCTTGGCAGCATGTAAAGTGACTAAGATTTGATCTTCCTTCGCATTAACTTGTGGTAAGTACTTAATACCAATAGCCATAATGCCGGCGGGAAATTGCATCCAGTCATATGTGATAGGTGGTGGAAGTCGTTTGGGAAAGCTACTGATTTTGTCAATATTTTTGTTCTGCAGTGAAGACTGATCCAGGTGTATGACATTAGAAAATGATGAAGAACTCTCAATCTTGTTCCCTTTTTCAGAAAATACTGGCTGCACAACACAGGAAATGTTGTTTTCAGCTCCTCCAGATCCTAAATCTTCTTTACTCGTTATTCCCAGAACTGTTGAATAAGACAAAAAACTGTTTCGTCGAGTCACTCTAGGGTCCTCCAGTGATAATCCTGAAGTACTGGGGAAAAGCACATCCTCCATCTTCACATTTACACTGTCACCAAGATCAGATTGTGCATCAGTTATCGTTATAGAAATTGGTGTCTGCGATACTTTCCTTAATTTAGTGGAGCGATTGTCAAGGAGTTCATAGTCTGTAGCCGAAGCTCTCCGTGTAATTGTAGGGACGGCCAGACAGTTATCTTTCGGAACTTGACAAAAGAATTTAGAATCTTCTGTTGAAATGGATGTTTTGCGGCCACAGTTTTGATCATAACTAGATATATATGTAGAATTTGAAGGGACGATTTGAATATCTTTCTGTTCAGCTTTATCTTCTGTTGGGAATTTAGATGTTTCGAAATGAATCTTATCACTACCTACTAGATGAGAGTGATGGATAGAGAGGTTACTTCTTGATAGGCTGTTCGAATCTGACAGTTTGAACTTCTTCTCTGCTCAGTAAACATAAATTGGTCAAGCATAGATTTCTTCCGATATTGCTTTTGCTGGGGATGTAGCGGTAGATTAATGCAACTTGCTTTTCGGTACCTATCTCTCTGCATTGTTTTGGTAGCTCCGTAGAGTTTCTCCGGTTGAAACCTTAAAGGCAGTGAAGGTTGTTCACAGGTCTTTTCAACTGACTTTTGGTTTGATGACTTTGCTGCCTTAGATGTAGTTTCATCATCATTTTGAAGTTTATTGCGAGTGCTTCGACTGCTATACAGAAGTAGTTTAAAATAAAGTCTTTCACTGTAAATTTCGGTCTGTTTGATCCATCCAATCGTCTTTGACAAGAACGCCTTCGGCGAAGAAACCAAGACGTATGTGTTAGGGCTGTGGCGAGCAGAATCAATACTATTGAACATAGTAGGATTGCTCCGAGGATAAATAGTAAAATTTTAATAATTGAACTTGTAAGCCATGCCTTTTGTTGCACGCCATCTGTTTCCACTCGTTCTGCGTTGAGATATTCATTTAACGAGTTATGTGTAGGTGGCATACTTCATTCAATCACTATTCTACAACGTATTTATAATAAATAGTATGCATTATAAAAATAATTAAGGTTTCAAAATCATATTTTTAGAGACTATGTTTCAACGACTTTTAAAGCAGTCGGAAGGAAAGGTTAGTCTTAAATGACAACCATCAGCATTAAAAATAGGTCAAATAACTTATAAACCAATTTGTGTCTCAGGTTTCAGGATGATAAAACTTTCCTCTTCTCAGTTTAGCTCACCTCTTGATTTTTTTAAAGTAAGCAAAACTAATTATGGAGGGGTGAACAGCTACGTATCTTAGTTCTTCATACAAACAGAACCCGATAAGCTTATGTGTTTCTTATATTCTTGAGGCTAAAATGGATGAGGAAGTAGTGAAGTTTCCTCATTATAAAAGGATTAAAGGTGGTTGACACCAACAAATGAAAATTTTCTGGAGTTTGTTTCACATGGTTTAGTTAACTTCATAAGTTCGAAGCTTCTACAGTCATCTACTTTTGAAGCCTTACTGGGATAGAAATTTGAGTGGTACATATGATTTAAATCTCTGTAGCTGATTACGATTTGTTTCTAACATATAAACTAAAGGGTGTATAAACAGGGTGATAAAAATCCACACTTCTTTACCCAAGGACAGTTCCAATGGAATAAACGTATTCATTATCTGACTGATCATGTATATTGGATATTAATGATTGTAATCGCATCTCTATTTAAAAGATATCTTCCTTAGTCAATGCTTTCTTATTCTTTTTGTTTTTTCGTCATTCCATGTAATGGTGAAACCATTATTCAATGTTTTAGGTAGTTGTTATATTTTCTTCTGACCTGTTGGCTGCCACAGAGTTAGCCCTTAGAATTTCAGAAAATTCATCTCAAACATAGTTACCAATAAGCGTTCTGTTGATATTCAACTAATTGTTCGGTGGAAAAGTCATTTTTGTAAATATTGTTGGCTACTGCTGAAAAGTCACGAAGTTGAACAGCTTTTAATGCTATGTGGTTCTTATCGATTTCCCAAATAATACCCGAAGGCAAGTAACATGTATTATTTAATACATGTTTTGGTTTGTTAATGCACTTTCACAGTTTCTCAGGCTCAGTCGCTAATTATTCCAGTCAACAAGAAATGTTAAAAACCTTCAGTTAAGTAGAAAAGTAGTGATGATAGATACTGGCTGGGAGTGGATTTCAGGACATGCGTTTTCTCCTATTTATTACTCGTCAACTGGATGTACCTGCCTTCTAAGGAGTGATTCTTTTCCCCCTGAGACTCAAACCAAAGGTTGACCGCTTCGGTCATATCACCGGCGGGATGATACAGTTAACAACATTAAGTAGAACAATAGTTTTGTGGTGTCACTATTAAAAGTGTCATCAAATTTTGTGAACTACTTGATATACCGTTGACACTGAAAGCAATATGTTTGTGAAGAAAGCAGAACTGATTCAGTTTTGCATGTTCAAATGAATTTTAGAAATAAATAAAATATAAAAATTTGTCTGAGATCGTAGTTGAGTTATTTCAGTTGTTCTAAAGTGAAGCATATTATTCATTGAAGTTATTTTTGTGTGCAAATATTTTTTATATGAGTCGTGTGGAACATTCAAGGATTTAAATAGCACAAAAGGGCTAGCTAGACTTATAGCGGATTGCATCATTCATAAGACTCCTAGTATTTTCTCTGTAGTTAAAAAACTATTATTTATCTTCTGTAAATATGAACAGTATTGTTTTCAATTAGATCTTCAGGCTTTACTCTAATACAAATAGCTGAATATATTTGAAATAAAACCAGTCAGGTAGATTTGTCGGTTAATGTGATAAATGTTTTAAAATAACGACGGTGATAATAATACTAGTAATAAAAGTGATAACGTTGACCTGAGCATAGGCAATATAGAGGATAATAGTGATAAGATCCAAGAAAGCAGCATGAAAATGATGACAATCCGATAATAACAGTGGGTTAAAAGCTTGGGAAAATAAAAGCTGCATAATACTGAAGGACGAGATAGGTGGATAAACTGAGTCTAAACTAGCATAGTTAGTGTATGAAAGGGGTGGGAAAAACCTCAGTGATAAAGTTATCAAGTATAACTTGGCCAAGGAAGAGATAAGGGATGCACAAAATTCTTCTGAATACGAAGACCAAGGTTATTAGCTCGAATTCCCACAGCTTCTGCTATGTGTAAAAGGTGAGTTGGAATACCTTTCAAGGATGAGGTGGTGTGGAGTGAATAATCGTGAAAGCATCGTTCTTATCTACCAAGTAACCACTACCAAGGAATTGCGATAAAACCGAACTTCAGATGCATTTTATCTGTCCCTTTCTCAACCACGAAAGTAGATAATCAGCAACACGTCTGTTAAGTTGTCTAGTAGTACGCCTAACATAGCCTTCCGCACAGGAGCAGCTAAACGTTTTAGTACACAGAAATGGCAAAGCCAGAGCAGAAACAGTTGGTCGACTGGAAAATGATAGATTGGTGTGGCGTAAAAAGTCCTCTTAATGGCTCTAGAGACTTTCTGATATCGAACTTCTCTGTCTATATCTCCATTAAATTACAATTTCATGAAAAACAGTTTCTTTTGAAAGGCAGTAATTCCGGGTTTACTTCCCCTTGTTTTGTTCATGTGTCTTTTTATAAAACTGTTGGGGTAGCCCATTTCGACCAATGTATTCTGAATCATTCTATACTAATTCATCCGAACATATTCTTTTCTCCCCGTTAGTGAGGCATTTAACCAGGTTTGCTTTCTACAGGATGGGTACATGGCTAAGAAAATGTGTGTACTGAATTATAGATGTAGTCTTCTTGTAAGCACATCTGATAAGTGAACCGTCTTCTCTTCTGCTTAGCAAGACATCCAAGAGGTTTAGTTTAGTAGCATTTTCTTCCTCACAAGTGAAAGTTAAAATTTTAATGAGGTATGTCCTTCACTAACTTGTTCTAATTTACATAATGGGAATTTTTAAAACTCTATAAATATCACTTCAGGCTGAAACAAGTTGGAAGACAATCAGGAATTATGTTTAGGAGTAAAATACGCAGGAAGTACTGTATTCCGTGAATGATTTGTCTTAGCATGGGGTAGTGGTTAAGACCAACTAAAATTTATTTAGGTGATATTCTTACTTCAATTCAGATGATTTGGCTTAAAGACTAAGAAAAAAGTTTACTTTTGAAATTCACCGTAATACTCATCCTCTCAACTGAGGGATAAAAAGTTGTCGAGAAGTATTACGTCCTCCTGATTTTGATCTTCAGTACATTAAAGTCGGTATTCTGAAAACTGAACATATTTTTCCGTCAGCATGACATACAGATAACGAATGATTCTGATTTGTAAATAGCGCTTGCAAATGAATTTACTGCGAAAGAGATCTAACTGTAACTTCTTCTAGCAAACCACTTCAATTTACAACTATTTTTCCCCAAAAGTATCACCACTGGTTGCTAAGACTGGGCTTTTCAGTACCACGATAGCTACTAGCTAGAGATTTCAGACAGTAGGCCGTGTGCTTTACGGCACTGTCAAAGATGTATTCCATTTCATTTTAGTACCACTTCTATTTCTGATTGCTTAGCGGATATTTTAACGGTGCCATTTTTTTATTTTTATTCTGAAAAGAATCCAGCACTGCTCACGTCTGCCTAATTAACAGTTTTACGAATATATGTTTTCTGAAAACTCTCCAGGTACAATATACAGGCTGGCATTTTCTATGTATCCTGCCGGTGAAGTCCTACAAATGCTCACGTATTTGATGAGCTGAAAAAAATTATATGGAAAGTCGACCAGTTTCAAGTCAACAACATGTACTGCATGTTACACTTGGTTCCTGATCCTTCTTTGAAACTGTATTTCAATAGTTCAGACTGGTAAAACTGGATAGTTAGACAATAGAATAAATTTCAAAATGAAAATGTTTTGACTAGGAATTGTTTTTCTACTTATCATATATATACCAACTGAATGCACTAACCTACGGTTAGTAATTTAAAACAATGGAAGAATATGCTTGAACACGTTTGAAAGCCTAAAACTTACCTCTAGAAATTGAGCTGAAAAGTTGTGTACTTACCAGTTCTCCTGAAAATGGCTTTTTTTTTATCCTTGGCTTTCAGTAGCTTGGACTGATTGTGACTCAACATAAAGTTGCACTTACTATTCATTAGAATCAGGTTGTCACTAATAGGTGTGTTATTGCATCACTTTTTCGATAACTTAATTGTTTTAATATGCAATCAACACTAAAAACTTTCACTTAGAAAACTGGCAAGTACATTTAATTTAATTAGGGCAATTCGAATAATGACCTTATTTAAGAAGTCACACCACTTGGTCTTGCATTTTAAATACATTGTCATTTCTTTAGAGGAAATGACGACATTCCGTCGAGTAATCCAATCTTGTCACAAACAAGGGGTCACAGGTTCCAATTTTTGTTTCCATCTGACAGAGAGCAGTTTGTTTGCCTAAGGAATGCAAAAACCGATCTTTAATGTTTTTTTTAGGATTTAAAATCCATTTTTGAAATATCAAGAGATGAATGTAGAGCCTTAAATCTGTATCTTTATCAGGGTACGCAAAATTATTCATAGTCTTAAGAGTATCGACCGACTAGGATTTCTTTAAAAAGTATTACATATACTATGTCACATTCTGTTCTTCAATACTGCCACGACTGTTGTGTACCGGAGCTAAAGATGCTCATCAGTAATTCTTTTATTGTTCTTAGTAGCACACAAGAGCATGAACTACCTTAGCGGATTCATGAGTTATTACGAATCAGAGCTCGAAAGTATCTGATGACCTCATTACAGTCAGAAAGAACGGTGCAGATAAATCAATCAGTTATTCCTCTTCATAAGTCAAACATATTCATGATGCTAATGTAGCCAGTTCTTTATTCATTTTACATCTGTTATTTTCACTGATTATCACTTTTCTTGGTTAGACACAATCATACAAAATCAATAAGTTCACTTTAGTGCAGTTGGATTCCTTGTTGTACGCCTTCCCAACATGTTTTCTGTCAGGATTACTGTTATTTCTGTTTACGTGCAAGTGGTCAAGATGGTGCAACTGACGTAATGAAAACTGCATAAAGTACCCATTAGACTGACAGAAGAAAGAAAACGCCACTTAGTTCACTTATGGGATGGTTAATAAATTTCTAATGTTACTCATAGATACAGATGAATAAAATTCTAGGCTACAATTACTGTGGACCACCATATTTTTCGATTCAATCAAAACACGTTTTAAAAGTAGAGGAAAATATCTTCATGGGTTCATCATTTCTTCTCTTCTAGTCTGCCAAAGAATACTTACTGCATTCCACATTATTCGCGTTATTATTTTAAGTTGGCTTCCATTATGCATGATTTATTTTATCCATTTCATATTTTACCGGTCAAACCATGTGATTATTAGTCTTGCAGAGAGTTTCTTTTAATATTTGATACACAGACTCATAAAACTAAGAAAACTACTATTCAGCTGTGTTGTTTTTCATGTTATAAAATATGTGACATAATTACAACTGTAACTACTGGGCAAGAGATAAATTTCCAGAGTTATTCGAGATAAATATTAAGACTAAAATATACGATTTATTATGCTGTATAAAACGAAGTTGGATTGATGAAGCGAACTAAAAGTCTTCAAATTCACGTTATGTATCCAGAAGTAATTTTCTTTCTTATTAAGTCTGATAAATTGATTATCATCCCTAATTTTGATTTGATAGCAGACATCTCATTGACAGTTTGTGTAAGTCCTTTATATCTAAACAATAGAAAAAAAGATGAGCACTAACATCATATACGTTTCTCTTTTATATTTGACTGAAATTAACGACTACGAACCCAACGGATAGTTGCTGTTGTTCATACAGCAGATATGAGGAGTCAAAAAAATTAGCGGAATATAAGGTCGAACAGCATGAGTATTTTGAAACCACTTGCACTGATCTCTAGATTTCTTTTCGTCGCTGCTGTTGTTTGCTGGTATATATTTCTTTGGTTTATGGTGCCTTTTGTGTTGGCGATGACAGGTTTTCATCATGTCTGGGAGGTTTCTAATAGAAACCTTTTTGAAACTACGGTTAAGCAATTGAAAAACTGTTCAACTGTGAGATTTGTCAACATGAAACATGCGGTCTGCTAATAATTTACCAACTGGTTCTACAGAAAATTATTGCTTTCATAATGAATAGTTTGGGACTGAGGCTAATTGGAACTAACTGATCGAAAATTAGCAACTAAGGATCCAAAAGTAAGTTGGCTTTCTGGTTGGCTAATTATTTTATCACTGAAAATACACAAAAATATAAACAAGATGTCTAAAAGAAATAGCTATTCAAATCTGGGAGTATTGACGACATCTCTTTCTTACTTCACCACTTTCTCCCAATGGAAAAAAACTTAATATTAATTGAGTTAATCTGTGTATGGATAAAGACAGCGAAACGAAGTAAGTGAAGAGTTCTGTTCTTATTTCACTTAAACTTCTAACTCCGGTGAAACCAACTTGTTTCTAGTCAGATGCTACCACAGGATTGCAATCTAGATTTTCATTGGGATAAAACATTCCTAGCTTTTCAGGCTTTACATTTTTTTCTGAAAGTTTTAGTACCATGAGCTGTTATTTACAAGAGATAGAGTTAATTTCAAGAAAAAAATTAGAGCTAGTACGGGAGGATACTTATTGCTTTTACCGTAAAAAATGGTTATTTAAATGAAGAAACAATTAACATCGAAATCCATAAACCATTAACTTCCATAAAGCTGGTTATCAAGGCAAACACAAGCATGAAAGTTTTCGATTAATACTAGCGATGCGTTTTGAATTGGTTCATTAGAGATATTCACTGCTTCCTGACCATCGATTATGTAACTGGAATATAATCATTTTATCAGTTTTGAAGTATAAAGCAAATTAAGGGTATCTGTCAGTGACAAAACTTCGTACCAAGTGAATAACGATGAGGCAAAAGGACTGATGCAACAAAATTTGCATCAAATATACTTGCTAATTGATAAAACATATATTCACTTGTAAATGGCTAAAAGCTTCGTTTGATGCATGTTGTAGCAATCAATCAAAGGACTTAAGATAACTTAGAAAATACTACTCACCTTGCTTGCGAAATGATATGAATTATACATGACCTATTGGGACCTTTTCATGACATCCGTGTTTTCGGATATCAGCGCAACAGCAGAAATAACAGGTCAAAATTACTTCTTTATGGTTATATTGACAATATATTAAGTGTTCCTTGTGGTACTTGGTGAACTGTTATCACAGTAATAAAAATCATATAGCAAATGAGGCGATTATTATCTTATTATTTTTATTATCCTGTCTTACATGGCTTACTTTCAACTATAATATGAGTTGACTACTGAAATAGCCAATCAGCTTACGGAATATGAGCAGATCTTAGATTATGGCTCAGTAGAGTATGTTTCAGTATAAGGATGTGTTTGTTTAAGTGTATGTATTTGCTGATATATTCGCCCACTTATTTGTGAGTGTATCTTCGTAGATGTTAGTTGTTGCTGTGTTTGTCTAAAATGAGTAGGAAACAGAATAGCACATGCAGCTTTATATACACAAATGAACAGAGAGGAAAATATCCAATCCTACAGTTTATTCTACGCACACGGGTTTAGTATCCATTATTTCTTTAATGTGCATTTTTCCCTCATTGATGCGACAAAAATAGATTCTGAAGTTAAATTTGTCTGTTTGTAATCTGATTTTTTCTTACTGTCAGCATTATAAAGCTGCAGTTGTTCAATTTCTGTTTTGTAAAATATCCAATACTACATTGAATTCTCTTTCAGTAATCTGTTGTTGTTTTTAGTAGGAAAAAATTGGCATATAGGAAATAAGTGAAGTTATTTGCTATTTAGCTCTTTCCGTCAAATGAATTCCGATAAGTATTTTGAATGATGAAAGTCACTTGCTATTTTCTTGTTTAGATAAAATTTATTTGTTTGCTTTTAGTTGATGGCTAGTGGTCATATAAACAGGTTCACACTGCAGTTTAGCCGACTACTGATGATCTACTCTGTTTTCATATGAATAGGGTTGTAAATACAAGTTTTATTTGCTAGCCCAACTTTTCTCAGCAGCGTATTTAGGGGTAACATGTTCATGCAAACTTGATTGGTGAGACTTTTCGTCCATCTTTTTACAGCCACAATAATTTCAGCATATTACATCCACTATTGATGACTGTTACCATTGAATCTTGGCTGCACCGAGTTATTCCGTTTTCGTTAGCCAAATCAAGGCATGACTATAAGCAATAAATTGTGCTCAAAAAGTCATCTAGGAGGAAATGAGAGCATCTGGGCTATCGTGGAGCTAGGTTCAAAAGATTTCAGAGAACAGAGCTCATTGAAGACATGCTACTGAAACCCTATGTTCCATTAAGACAAATAATATAATAATAGTGGGCTTTATCAAATAGACTAATCCAGTATGGAATTATATTTTACCCACAGTGTCCGAATTCGACACTTACACAGAGTTATTACTGAAACATGGCCCAGACATGTTAAGTATTCCCAATCGACTTATACTGAGTTTGCCAGATGGAATTATTTGAAGGCTGTCTACAACACTTCTGAATACTGTAACTAGAAATGTCTAGCGGAGTCTCGGAAGGGACATTAGCTTCCTCGGGGTTGCAGATACACTTTATTGGAGTCTCAACAGGTATGAAAGTTAGATTCATATCTCCCTCATGATCACCTTTGACCAAATAATTATTCTGATTATAAAAGAGATATTTAAAGAACCCAAGTTGATCAAGTTAACTGGTTAAAAGTAATCAGCCGAAGGCTGTTCATGAAAACTAAGAGAAAGCGCTGATTCTTTAAAGCTCTTTGTACTGATGGGAAATGCAATTACTTTTATTTTATTTTCAATCATGAGTGAGGTTTACCTTATGCAATAAATATAGAAGGGGTTTTTGGCAATCGATTAACCTGTTCATAGTTTTTATATTATGAATCAACAGGTTAGTGTAGTATATCGGGCAGGTACAGTGTGCATGAAAGAATCACATTTGCCATCACTTAATCGACAAGATTGGTGACCAAAAATTTTTATGGTCATTGAAGTGGTGATCTGAAAATTTGGAAATAAGTGTTTAGAAAGTAGGATGTATAAACGTCATTTAATCTAACAAATTACGTGGGTAATCTAACCTTAGCACAGCTGATTTCAGTGTGAGACTCGTTTGAAATAACAAAGATATTAAATTTGAACGAATAAAGTAACTATTTCTTTCATATATGAGAAAAATGATGCTAACGGATCATTAATACTTGTTTATGCCTTGAAATTTCAAAGTGTTTTCTACGTGGTTTAGTTCTTTTATGGATTACAGTGTATGTGATGAATGGGCAAACATAAGGCTAAGATATCCATAAAAAGGAATCTTCATATATATATATATATATATATATATATATATATATATATATATATATTAGTTTTTCAGCAAAATTTTCGAGAATGAAAAGAAAGCAAAACAGACTGTAAGAGTTACGTTATGCAATAGTATGGATAAAGTTTGATATTTCTTCAGGTTGAGATGTTTGATTGTTGAAAATCGATCATCTGTCTGATTTAATTCAGCAACACTTACATTATGAAGTGGTAAGTCACTCAAGTGCATTTGTCTGAATATTGGTCCCTTGAGTTTATCAGTTGTTGTGATTCATGAAGTATGAAAGCATTTTGAGCGAGAAGGCGAATTCGCTAACTTTTTGTATAAGGAGTCTGACTGCAGTATTGATTGGTGGGTTTACCAGTTTTAGGCGTAAGATAATGTTCTTCGAAACTTTGACAAACCTCGATAAGCATAAGGCTAGTCTAAAAATGGTGGTTCGTCACCTGGATTCCCATATTCAAATGTTAATTTAATATGTGGAGAATAAGTACTAATTAATTTCTAAAACCAGCGTCGCTTGAGAAGTAATTTGGAAACTGCTTCAATACTACGGAGTACCGCAAACCTTTATCCGCCTCATTCAACAACTATATGAAGATGCCACATGCCAAGTAATCCACAATGGGAAGCTCAGTGATGCCTTTGAAGTGAAGACAGGAGTGAAACAAGGTTGCCTACTATCCCCATGATATTCCTTATTGTGGTCGACTGGATCATGCAGCAAACAGTAGGCAGCGAGAAGAGGGGGATACGCTGGACGACGGAAAAGAACCTAGAAGACTTGGATTTCGCCGATGACTTGTGCCTAATGTCACATAAACTTGAAGATCTGAAGGCAAAAACTAACAAGTTGATAGAAGAGGCAGCGAAGACGGGACTTCAGGTGAATATACAGAAGACAGAGGTGATGAAGATACCCAACCAACACCACCACCATCAACAACAACAACAAACTCCAATCACCGTCAACGGGAGAAACTTGAAGGAAGTGACCTCCTTCACTTATCTAGGAAGCACTGTTTCAACTACAGGCGGGACGGACGAGGGTGTCAAAGTCAGAATCGGAAAAGCAAGACAAGCGTTCATTAGCCTGAAACCAGTGTGGAGATCTTCTGCACTCAGCATGCGGAACAAGATACTGATTTTCAACACCAACGTCAAGTCAGTGCTCTTGTATGGCTCAGAGACTTGGCGCGTCACGAAAGGCATTTCCAATAAACTACAGACATTCATCAACAACTGCTTACGCTCGCTACTGAAAATCAGATGGCCAGAAAGAATAAGCAACAAGGAACTCTGAGAACGAACCAACCAAGAACCTATCACGCAACAAATATGCAGGAGGAAGTGGAGATGGATTGGGCATGCACTGAGAAGGCCGGCTGAGGACATCACGCGTCAGGCCAGTTGCTCGAGTGGAATCCCCATGGGAAGCGACGAGTTGGACGTCCGAGGGTGACATGGAGGAGGTCATGCGAGGAGGAAATGAGAGCTTCTGGGCTGTCGTGGAACCAGGTTCAAAAGATCTCAGAGAACAGGGGTCACTGGAGACGTGCTACTGAAGCCCTATGTTCCACTAGGAACCCAAGGGACTAATAATAATAATAATAATAATTTCTAAAACGTTCTGAGAATTGATCTTTCTAAAATTACGAATGTATCACCGATAGATCTCAGTCGAATACATGGCTTTATAGAGTTTGCAAGGGTCATGGATTTAATGTGAAACATGAATACTTTAGCAACGACAGGAGACATGGGCGAACCCGTTTGTATTTAATTTGTTTATTTGTATAATTTCCCTCTAAGCGTGAAAAGTGTCAAATTTAAGTAAAATTTGAATGTTTTCTTGATGAGGCTGAAGTTCAAAATAGATCTTTCGGATGATATGTGACCACTCTCAAGCAGTTCACCTATGAAATCTAAACGCTTTTGAATGGAAAAACCAGTACAGAGTGAAACAACACCATAATATATGACTGTTTCATTCTCTGCAATAGTTAGTTCCATTACTTTAGAACTGAAATCATGAGAATCTTTGATTGAACTGATAATCAAACATTGGAGAGGTTTCAGTAACGATGCGAGGTATTTACATAATGAATTTGCTCGAGATTTCGTAACATGCATAAAATCATGCCTTTACGGATGATTACTATTTCTAAGGTTTCTAATTTTGTTTTGAGAAGTGACAAGGTCAAACCACAGCGATCTTGTAGTAAAATCTTCCAATAGTGAAACACGCTAAACGATGATGTTTCTTGCATATGATAAAATTATTGCTTACTTTCTGAAAAATAATTTAACTATATTAAGGAGAAAACGATACATAATGATTTGTGTTTGGAACTACAATTGGTATAAACCAAGGTAAATCTGAAAACCTAGCAATTTTAAGCAAATAGTTTCAAACTATTTTGTTGCTTTATATTTCTTTTTCAAACAGTAAGCTGCATTAGAAAAACACTCTTAAGTCTGCGTGCGAGTTGTAAATGTTTGTATGAAAGTTTTGCGGAGAATCGCAGAGTTTATCGTTACAAACAGTATGTTTGCCAACGGGACTGACAATTTACTCCTGCACACAACTTAACAGACAATTATCCCCCAACCGTGAAACGTGGTTGACGAATGATTAATACATCTTCCTCTTTTTTGTTCAAAGTAACAAACTCATGATATTAAGAGAAAACAAGGTAATTCTAGAGACATGACTAAATCTCATCATGGATTGTATAAGTATTCTGGAGTACCTGGAACATTTGTGAAGGATGTTGAAATTGAATGTAAATGTTATTGTTAAAGTGAAACTTCCTTGTACTTCCCATAGGTTATATGCTGAATTTACAAAACCGTTTTATCGATCACCCAATGGCAGTTTAGAGTATCCATGGATCAGAAACCAGAAAAATAATCATCATGCTTTTTTATTGCAGAGCTAATTTGCCGAGAGACCTTGATTTATTAATTAAAATAAAATACCGTCCAGTGGTAAAGTTTCATTGTTC